CAAATCTTGATGTCTCTTGAGAAGACAAAAGAGAAATGGCTTAGATCTATTTGTAGAGTATAATTTATTCAAATCTACTGGCATATAATAAATGAAGATTGTAAGTCAAGACTTGGGGTTCCAGTAGTGAAAATAAGAAAATGTGTACAAACATTGTCTGTTCCTTAGGTGATTGCGATATGATTGGAAACGACTCGAGTTATAGATGCTCAACTTTTTGTTTTCTAAATCCCATCATTTCCATATTCCGTAAAATGAAAATAAATGAGATACCATGAACCTTTCGTTTCCACTATAATTAAGGACTCCGTAACTCAAAACTCAATACCACCAACACAATTATCTCTTTCAACCATACTAATGAGTTGTGTATACCTCATAAAAAAGACAATGTCAAGAAAATCCTTGTGAAATCGCGCTCTTAGTTTGTCGATATCACTTGCCATTAGTAGCATAATGAACATCTGAATAATACCCGAAATGATTCCGCGCACACTTCATTACTACAACAAGCCCATTCATCGCTTGTTGCGACACCTTCGCTAATCATTCGAGTAATATTTTTATATTTTCTATGAGACAGAAAATGACTTGCAGAGTAACCCAATCTTATCACAAGAAAAATAAATCTCTCGAAGATGCTTTTCATGTTTCAATGATTACTTCATCTCTATAAATAGTTACTTGTTTAATCACTTGAAAAATTTCTCGAAAGACCAATATATAATATGTTAAGAATCTGATTCAGACAGTTAATTTCTTCCATATTTCATGAATATCTGTCAAACACACATGGGCATATATTTTCACTTCCAAGAATAAGGTGGTGAAGGAATTTTTGTCGTTCTGAGATTCAAATTTACTCGTTCAAATTATACAGTGAGACGAATGAATTTAATCTCTAAGGGTGGGGAAGAGAATGGTTGTTTTAATGGAAATCATGTTTCGATGGATTCCTTTCGAGGATGAGTTTTCTTGTATTGTTAGTCGATCACTCCTTGGTTCAGCTCAGTTCTTTGCGTTTTCAGCCTCTTTTGCGTGCAGCCCAATGACAGAACCATGGGAGATCCCGGGGCTCAGTCCTCTTCCTAGCGAAATTTTGAAACCTAGATTTTGTGTGTCAGGGGATTCGGTCCCTATATTTGGATCTTTAACCCCCCCCCCCCCCCTGGAGCCAGAGTTTCGAAATATATATTTAGTTGGCTCAGGACTCAGTCCTCTCCTTCCTAGCCCAAAAGTCTGACTCCACCACTAGTGCAGTCTGGTAGAGCTTCTATCTATTTCTAAATCAGTATGTCAGAGGGAAATCATTGTTTTCTGTAAGACTATATAGAATAAGTTCACGCTCATGAGATTACTATTAAGGACTTTATCGAAAACTGTCATGAGCGCTGTTATTAACCCTTACAAAAATTACTCACAAGTGCTCTTGTGTATGAGTTGCATAGTATTTTCGATCGGTTCCTTAATTGTTGCTGTGATTAGACATATAAGCCGATGAGTCAATCGGCGGCGGCGGTTGAAAATTTCGAAACTGAATAATTCTTAAGATGATAAGAAATGTCTGTTTATTTCAATTTCTAATGAATTATAATTTCAAAAAACTGAATAAAATGATTGTAATTTCTCACATTAGTTTAATCAAGACGTTACGTTTCAGTAATTTAGAGATGAATAATCAGTTGTTAAACAACTTTTCCCCCGACGTCTAGGAATCTAGAGATTCTAACGATGGACAAACTCGATTGATAGATATTAAGATGCTACAAAATTAGCCGTTTTAAAATGTAAAGAGAGAGACTGAGACACAACCTCTACAAAGCATTAAATTTTATTTGTGTCAGAGCTCTTAATTTCGTTGTACAGTTTTTTTTTGTATGACAATTTAGAGAAAACAGGCAGAGAATATGCTAATTTGTTGATTTGATGAGTTTTGTGTCACTCGATGCATTTCTAATAGGAGATTTGTCATTATTCCTATGCCTCATGCAAAACTGTAAACGCTAATCCTTTTTGAATTGAGAATGAACCATCATCTATTTGTTCAAATCTTCATTTGCAGAAGCAAATTTTCTAATACCTTTGTTTAGTATCTATTGTATCATTTGCTCTTTTGTGCAAATGACAAAAAAAAATAAATTTTCATTTTAATACACTAGGTAGCTTTTTTCAGAGTAAAAAGACTTTCATTAAAATTATGAAAATTCGTGATATTGAGTCATAGATTCAGATATAAATCAAATCTAAACTACCAACACTAATAAAAGAACTTTGCATCGATATTTCGGACGCAGAGTATCCATTTTTCTTACATATAGACAACCGAAAAATTTATAAAGATACTTCATGATGCAGACATAAATGGCAATAGATTGAAAAAATTTCGATTTTCATAGTCAGATATCAGCTGTGGCGGCTAAAACTTTCAACAATTTTTCTTAGTAACAGCAGCTCAGCCGCACGACTTACATCTCTAGCTGTGATTTTGCTACCATTTGCATAGTTTTTACGGTGGGATCCGTTGAAGTTCCTAGTTTTTTCTGGAGAGTTTCGGTGAGAAATTCCACAGACCCTGCAGAATAGACGCTGCTGGAAAGTCGTTATAAACGTCCGATTTCAGCATAGATTCGAGGTCGAAATCATCGATCTGAACCAAAATGCTTTTTCGAGTCTTTCAAAGATAACCATTATGATTGTTCACAAAAATCTCAAATATTATATTGAAACTCATTTTTCGAAAGAACGTTAAATTTTGACTCTTCTGATATATTTTCATATTGATAAAAAATGAGCACATATTTTGTCTGGAATTTTTCGACCTATTCGTTAAAAGAAATAAGATTAAAAATGAAAGACATTTTCAACCAAACAAAAGAGAACCCAATAGAAAATCTTTCATCAGCGGTTAAGGGAAAACTTCTCTATGTCTTCTTTTTATGTATTCAAATTAACTTGTATTGATAAATTTTGTGCTATTCTGTCTAAAAAAATTAACAATTTTATTTGAGAAAAACTCCTAAGTTTGAAAACAAAATTAAATTAATGCTAATTTCAATAGAAATTACTCAAGTTTTTATAGTTGTCTATATTTTTAAAGTCAATTATTTTCTTATTTATGCTTTTCAATATTGCTTAAAATTTAAGCATTTGAAAAAATTGTCCAACAAACGAAAACTAAATTAATTAGTTTTCATCCGAACTAGATAGAGCAGAGTTTAAGACATCGAAACACTTCAAATTACTTCAGACTTTTGTTTTTGGAAACTTTAAAAACAAACTTTCGATGATTTTAAAATACTTTGTGAAAACCTGGAAGAATTTTACAGAAGTTCCATATTCTAATAAGACTTCAAAATTGAAGTCTTTACTATGTCCTCATTGATTTCACCATCATTCTATTTTTTAGACTTTCAGATAATATAATACCTGCTTATTGTCGCATTAGTACCGTCCAAAAACAACAGAAAATAAATATTTATTATGGGTTCTTATGCTTCTTCAACATCAAACAATTCATTGAAACATGTTGAATGGATGTGGCAATCGAATCCAAACCCGTGGTCAAAATCGGAGCCAGCAACATGGAGCCATTATTCTGATTTGGAAAATTTAATCATCGAAGAAGCATTTCAAGATAAACAATCACAAGCACTTTTGGATGATTATTACATTGATTTCAAAAGTAATCGTCAAATTTTGAACACTGACGACTACAAGCAACGACCTATTAAACGTGTAGAGCGTGAAAGAGAAGACAAACATTTACGAGAAGCACGTTTCATGGACCTTCCTGTTGGTAAAGGACGTTCATTTGGTGGTCAATATGGTTGGGTATCTCCGTTTGTAATTGAAATCAGAAGATACTTGAAACTTGAACCGAATGATTTACCTTCCAAAAAGCCAAACATGATCCCAGTGCTCATAGAAAAAGCTGCTCGTGGTATAATTGAAGAAGGAAAACAT